CAGTCACGCCGTGCTATACTATATACCTGGATTTTATATAAGTTTGTATAGATACGTAGACATTGACAGTAACAGCCGTACTATAATATATACCTAAGTTTCTCTTATCAGTGTTCCCTACGAGACAGTTTGATCTGACACAAGCATACGGTTGAAAGTAATTGATTACTAATGACATAACATGTATTACCATTCAAATTAAGGTTTGGGTGTCACTCGGGTATTTTCTTGTTGTTTTCGTGCAAACACTACCACGACAAAAATATTTGATGTATCGTCCTCTTATCTCCTACCTGCTTACTTCCTGGTATCTAGCTGGGTAGATTAGAAAAACTGTTTTCAGTTCAACATGGCGTCTGGCCGGAACATACATGGAACCCTAACGTTAATACCTATGGCATTTGTTGCTATTCTGCCTCTTTTTGTTCATTCATCATGTAAGTAATGCCATGCCAATACGTGTACTATTACTCATTTTAACAATTTAACTGTAATGCCATGCTAATACGTGTACTAAAGCTCACTTCAACAATTTAGCTGCAATGTCATGCCAATACGTGTACTAAAAACTCACTTTAACAGTTTAACTGTAATTCAATATCATACACAATTGTGATTATAATCCATGTTTATATATTGCACTATTATTACGTTCAATGCTATAACAATAACTGTAATCAAGGTAATTGTTGTTTGAAGTTTGTTATTTATAAGTTGTAGTTCGTGTTATCTTACGAAGAAAAAGATTAAAAGTAAATCAATATCTGGACGGAGTGCGTTCGAGTGAGATAATATTGTTAGGGTAGGAAGTAAAATCTACTGTAGGTCGGGGTACCTGAACCATACATATGTTTTGGTCTTGGTTTCACGTGTACAGCCAATATCTACACCTTTTTGTTGTATCTGTTGCATTACCATTACACATATGAGAAGTAGTAAATTACGTACATTTTGTTCTTATAGACTCAACTTAGTCTTATATATTTTTATTATTCAGCACGTATCTTCTGGTTGTTTACGAAAGTTATCTATGATAATAATTTGAAACTTTATTTTTTTATATATATATATATACATATATACACAAGTATTTTTTAAATGGAATGAATCCTTTATTTATTCCCAAAATAATCAAACATGTTCTCATTTAATGGCTTTATATCTTTATATTTGAATTTCATTAGAGCAAGATAAATCTAAGGGGTTTTAAAAAACTAAGCAACATTATATCTACAATTTTTTTAAACATGCATAATCATGAACCCAGCATTATGAGTCACACGCTTGATAAATGTTTTATTTTTATCATTTTGATAGATAATCTCGCGTTTGGGAAACAAGCGTCACAAAGTACAAATTACCTGGGCTGGTATGCTAACAAAGCAGTAGATGGTATCATAGGAAAAGACGTGTTGGCTCATGGAGAAGGAAGCTGTAGTTCTACTAATCCGATTGGACCAAGTGAGGCGTGGTGGAGAGTTGACCTTCAACAAATATCAAGGATAAAACTTATACATATCACGTACAGACAGTTGTGTAAGTAATAATTATGGGACATATCACTTAGGACATTATATATGGCTGTACGTCTATCCTAGTAAAATGTATAAAAAACGATGAGAAAAGTTGTAAAATTGGTTACGGCCTTTATTGTTTGTTTGTGTTTTTCAATAGATATATGTATGCATAAACTTTTTGGATTATTTTCACGGACCATAAAGAATTTATATACAAAAGTGTTTCAGCCCACGAAGCAAACAATATAGTTAAAGATATATAGATGTAGATATTGCCTATTAATTTGTATGAGGTGAGATAGGAAGATTTCTGTGTATAGACACATACTTAAATGCTTATATAAGTGTAATAGGATATCGCATGAGTGTTTTTGTCAGTAACATTCAGGATAAAATATGGTAAAGGGTAATCCTAAAATGATCTAGAACGGGCCATGCTTATTCAGGTATCGAACGTGTAAAGTCTATTTATAGCACTGTCTACTGCGGTAACTCTTTACCTGTCACAAGTATATCAGGTCAAGGCTATGATATGTTTATGTACATTTGAGATATAGATAAACATATTCGGTGCCACTGTTGGTATGTAGAATTGGTTTTTATTTTTTGTATTAATATATAACTAAATATAACTTCATTTTTTATTTTAAGCAAATTTTCTTTTTTTTAACAATTAAACATAACGCCAATGCATTTAATATATATTATTATGTTATTAAGAAACAGAAGCAGTCATGTAAAAACACTCAGACACTTTCGTCACCGTTTAAAATCGATACTAGAACAGTCGTTCCCTTAAATATTTACAAAAAACATCTTTGTAAAATGTTACAGAATTATGCACAGCGCATACAGGTATCAAGATATCAATAGATATTAATACGAAAAAATCATCAACTTTTTGAATTGTTTTAAACGTTCAAAATATCGCACCAGGTGCTTTTAACCTGGTACCTTATACACCTTTTTAGTGTAAAAAATAGAGAAAAAGAGACATGAATGGAGAGATATAAAATATGTACTCCCGTGGGCACAAGGGGAAAATTCGTTTTGAGGTGGAATTTTTATTTAAATGACGAAAAGTTACTGGTTAACAATAAACTTGTTGAGTTCGGTGGCAAATTTTTCCCCCCAGCAGACTTGAGGCTTTCGTATGGGACCAAACTGTGCTCCACTTCCGGCCGAATTATTTTTGATTTCATATGATGAAGGTTAATTGGTAGTGAGTTTATTAGGGCTGGTAACAAAAACCTAGTCAAGTCATTCAATTTCACTTCAAATTTTTCGACGATGTGCAGTCTAATAAAAAAATAATAATTTTATTGAGCACATGTATCGTAGAAACCATTTTGAGCTTGTGACAAAGAACACAGCATACTGTTCAACTCCAGCTGCTTACCTCGATTTTTACGTACAGCATGACCAACAGGGACGGCTTATAACTAAGCTTTAAGATAAGCGGGACAATTTTGATTTCCCAATCATGAACATTCCCTATCTTGGTAGTAACATTTCTGCTCCATCTACCCTACAGTGTTTACATGTCGAATTTAATTATGTATTCAAAAGCTAGTTCTGATTATCATGACCTCCGTTAGAGATGTCGACTGCTGACTTACAAAATAGGGTTTTCAAAGAAGTTGGTTGATTAAGAATATGGACAGATTTTGTGTTCGCCATCATGATCTCATATGGAAATATACTACAGGTGTATTTCTTTTTGTTATAGAAAGGTCGATGATTTTGATTGTGCTAATGAGTGAGTCTTATTGTATTGTTTTCCCTACCAGTGGTTTCAATACGTGGACGTTACACTACCTTGTTTTGACCTAGATTTACATCGCGGGTGTCGTCAATCAAGTGAAAAAGCTTACCCTTCCGGAACACGGTGTCTTATTCTACTAGTTCTTTTTCAAGAGTCTTCTTGTGAATCTTTCTATTGTTATTATTTGCAATGGTTTCATTGTTGGAGTTCGAACTATGTTTTGGACACTTCAGTATTCTCGTGTTGTTTTCTATCAAACTAAACTAAACTCTTGAAGATGTTTTTTGTCGATAAAATCTATGTATCGTGAAATCGTCTTATATTTCTTCATTATGAATTTTTTCTTATGGAATCACATTAAAACCGTTGGATAATGCCATTGCTTTCCTGTACGTAAATAAAAAAATGTTGTTTAAGTTGATAACTAAGTTTCACGTGTTAATTTCAACGTATAACAGTATTTGTATATCTCTAACCTTAAGTAAAATACGAAAAAATATATCCTTAAATGCATTTTATATTCAAAGTAGTGTATTCTATCCTTCATTAAAAACACGTTTTTTTCAGACCCCTTTCGCCTTTCTGGATTTTATCTTTATGTTTCCAATACGACTGCTGTGGATAATCTACAGAACACTGGACATCTGTGTTACCATGACGACACAAAAAACCCGGATCTCCCATCAGTAAACCAATATCGTTATTGTCCCGTTGACGGGATATATGTCATTTTCTACAACAGGCGTCCCGCTGATAATGGACCGAAGTCTAATCCACACTACTCGACAATAGACGCTGTTGTTGAATTATGTGAGGTGGAGGTGTTTGGTAAATATATATGCTAACCAAAACCGTTTTTATAAATGCAGAAGTAGAAAGATTATAAGTTATTACAAAATCAAACTCCATTTGTCCATCTACGATTACTGTTTCAGTTTTCTTGAAGGAGCAGTACTCGTGTTGTGATGTTCAATAGTTCAAACTATAGTTTAACAAGCTAAATGTATGAATGCAATTGGAGCCGATTAGGATTTTGCTACTTATTGATAAAGACATGAAACGTTAACTAGTTTTTCCTTGCTGCTAGGTTGTCCCGTGAATAGTTTCGGACCTACCTGTAATGGAATATGTCACTGTGGCGTGGGTGGATGTGATCCTGACACTGGAATATGTGACGTCACTGGATGTCAGAGTGGATGGATGGGGCTAACCTGCTCAAATGGTGAAATAACTTTTTATATATGATCAGTTTGTATAGTATAATGCTAACAACATGTCGTTCTCAAGATGTTTTATTCAAATTACTGTCCTTCTTTTGAGCTACAGGTTAAGGGTTCCAACAAGTTAACCTGTATTATTAATAAATTTAATATTTGATAAGGTCCTTTTCGAAAGAATTAATTGGTTTAACTCACATAATGCCATATCTGTTAAAGCATTATAGTAATTCACAATTTGATTGCTAAACAATTAAATGAAAAGTAAACAAGACAATTACAGGGGTAGACAGTTGCAAAACCTACACTTCACCAATATTACTTATTATACAGAAACTATGAAAGCTCAGCAACAAAATAAGTGTCCAATTTATGGCAGCTAAAAAATAATCAACTTGAGAAGGGAAGTTTCCCCAAGCTGGAAAAAAATCTCTTCGGGTGCTTAATCTTCTATATACAGTAGGGAGATTATAAATACACTGCGTTGAACTCTTTTTCGCAATTACAAATGATGTAGTAGTACCTTTTACTTTAATTTAAATTTTGAACGCAACTGTTTCTATTGGTCAATATCACACTGTGTGAATGTTTACAGTATAATGTATTCAAATCAATTGTCAGTACGACTTAGTGTGTGTTCTTTGCTATGTAAAATAAACTTATATATATCTTTGTTTATTTCTTGTAGAATGTGAACGAGGAACATTTGGCGTAGATTGCAGCTCAACATGTCATTGTTCCACAGCCGGATGTGATAGAGTGACTGGAAGCTGTACAGTGCCAGGATGTGAGGCAGGATGGCAAGGGAAT